CAATTTATCTTAGAGTCTGTACTCTATGTCCCAGTTTGCTTACACTGAAAAAAAACCCTGAAGTAATGAATAGTGTGTAGACATTGCAGCAGTGAAAACCAGTGTGTTTGTAAGAATGAAAAACCCTGGGCATGTTCATTCTTTTCCTTGCAGAAAGGAATTGTTATAAACCACTTGAAACATTGTTCTTAAAAAGTCCTTCATGGCTGGTAAGCATTATATCAAATTCATTTTTTTTTCTAATGCACCCTAATTGCTCACCATTGCAGTTATTTATCTGGGAAGACAAAATGTTTTATACTTAGAGTTCCATGAAAGAAAATCAATTCTCTTAATTTAATAGTGATAAATGCACTCCATGGTAGATGTCCCATTCCTCCCATTCCTTCACATCATTATCCTCAACTCGTGGTTTTCCACCACCTCCTGTTAACAGCCATACCCAGCTAGTGCTTTGTCTATTGTTTTCTGTAGAATTCAGAACAAGCCTTGTGACTTACATAAGGAATGGTTTAATGTGTGTCAGACTTTTGCAGTCCAGATGTAATTTTTGGGCATATGATCACTCTGCAGGACCACATCAATACTTTTGCTTTTCAGGCAAGCAGCATATCCTCTTATAGACCTTCATGCATTTTGCCAAATAAATTTAAAAAATCTGTTAGTCTGTCAACAGTGGTGGGAATGAGGGTTACAACTAAAGTCTTCAAGATGCACTGTTGACGATGGATATGCAAATAATTGAGGGTTTGGTTCTCTCACCATCCTTGCATTATCAGCATGCAGTGTTTGTATTTTGACTCTGATGTGTATCTTGAGATTAATTTTGGTTCTCAGAGAGAATTATTACAAGTGTTACATGTGATATGGTGTGTTTAGCATTTTCATGTTACTTTCCTTACAAACAAAGCTCACTCCGATAGCTGAATGTCTGTTATTCTCGTATACGTATGAACCAACCTGGGCAGTTCTGAAGACATTCTGTTGTTTGGGAAATCTGTAGCAAGATTCTGTCCACCTGAATGATGCTGTCAAGTGTTTTTGTGTGTCACTGGTTGAACAACGATCATTACTGTTAAATTATATGAGACCTGTGTTCTTCTTTCCTTTCCCTTCCCAAGAACACAGAAGGAGCTGTGTCTTCTTCACAGAATAAACATCAAGAAGAGTACATTATAGTAAAATTGTTAGGCTTAGCTTTATGACTATTGGACATTCATGAAGTAATATGCATGTATCAACATTCCTGCATCAATTTGGGAACCCAACTGTACTCTCCCTTAAGGAATTTTTCACCACAAAAAAGAAAGGTAAAGTTGCAGGGAGTTATAGTTACACTCTAGAGTAAAAGGATCTTGATCCCTGAATCATTTGGAGTTGCTGGTAGTTCTCCAAGTCACACCAACCTTGAGGCATGTGACACATCCTCAAAATCTAAAGTGACTAATGGCGTGGAGATTCAAAAGTTGTAATTGTGAAAGCAACATGAAATATAAACAATTCCATTGTCAATCAATGGCAATATTTGCTGTAAGACAGGTGTCTAAGTTTAGGAGTTTAACACTAACATATTTATAAGCCACTTGGTCCTGAGCGTTTTTCTGATGGAAGATGGTAATCATCAGCTATATGATCTGCCAATTCTTTAATTTAACCTTGCCAACAGGGGTGTATTATGGAGAATCTCCAAAGGACTGTATCCCAGGGCAGCCTGTATGTCAGTCACCATGACTGAAGCATGGATTTTGGCAGGGCATAGCTGATTACCAAGGAGCACATGGATCTTCCTTCATTAGCCAGTGCAACATGATTAACACAGGCATGGAGTTCAGGATAAGTTTCTGAATTGCAATAGACCCATTATGTGTATGTTACATTTCATTTCTTAGGTTAAGAAAAACTCTATAAATAAAAATTTCTAGTTACATTGTGCTCAAGAGACAGGAGTAAAGAAAGACCCCGGATAAGATTTTGTGTTACACTGCAGTGGTATGACTGTAACTTGGAACTTTTAGGCAGCAACAGCTGTTAAAAAGAAAGGTAGCTGCTGTCTTCCCCTCCAGCACTTTAGTATGATCCAGATATTTTTGCTGCTGCAGCTTTGTTACCTTGAAGCCAGAAGCTGATGAAAGGCAAAATCTCTCCTTTCTGCGCATCACCTTAGGAGCCTGGGTTTGCTCTGCAGCTTCTTTAAAAGACACCTTCCACCAAGTCTACTTTGAGATCTGTTTGATCTGGAAACCGATTCGTTCTTTGTGTAAGTCACCTGTAAAGTTGGAAAAAAATAATTACAACTGACCTCACTTTGGCCCTTCGGGCAGCTGGTAAGCGGTTTAGGGTAATGCCTTTACTTGACAGGAGGAGCAGGATATAGTTTATGACTGCAGCTGTACTGATGTGCAGTGGTTTGGTGTGCTACGGGACCTTCATATTATCAGTCATACTCCCATTTTTCAGAGTGCATGGTCATAGGGACAGACTCTGTGGAAGAAATCACAGTGGGTGCGTGCTGAATAGTAGTGAAACAGTGTTTTATTACCTGTGTAACCACCTCATTTGTTACACATACTTGGTAGGCTGGTTTGCTGTTTCATTAGCTTCTTAAATAAACTTGGTCTTTGGGAGATTTCCTGCTGTGAACTGCTGGAAATCACCCACAGCATACACTGCCAAAATCTCAATTTAATAGCTTGAACAGTGTGATTTCTTAGATCTCATAAATGTTCATTTCAGATCTTTAAGTAAAGCATTAATTCCCCAGTAGTGAACAGCAACTGGAAAACGATCATTAAAACTGTTGGCAAAGCATCACTTCTCACCGAACGGGCCTGGTGCCAATCCCTTGTTTTTGTACCAAACACAGTGAAGGCCAGCATGCTCTATGTTTCTGACATTTGGACATGTCCAGCTGTAGCTGGAGACAAATCCAAAATAGTTACAACTATTAAAATTAGCTACCTGGCCTGTGGTCTACTGTCTACAGCTCTGTATGAACTCAAATCTGAAGAATAGTTGGATATAGTGTGCATGTATACATGAATAAAATGCATGTTCTGTGTGTGTTGTATGGCTGTTAGCAGACATTGGTAGAGAGTAATTCAGTCCTCATTACTCAAGAGATTAAAAAAGAATTGACTGTTTTAAAGCATCATAGTGTTTTCTTAGGTATTTTATAATTTAAGTAGTTCCTTTAGGGCTCTTGGGTGATGAAAAATCTCCAGGAAGATTAATTTAAGATTGAAAATTTACAGTAATATTTTTAGGAGGGAAAAGGATAAGAATCGAATATATGGGAGCCTAACTCAGAGAGTGGACTCCATAGCTGGAATTAAGTGCTTGAATTCCTTACCATGCCTTGGGAAGGTGAGAGGAAGAGGAGATGAGAGGAAGGTGAGAGGTGGGGGGAAACAAGGTGACTCAGGAAGGTTGTCCAAAACCCTCACATACTAAAGGGAGACAGAGTTGTCATCTAGAACTAGCCAGAGGTCTATGCCTGCCTTGCTCAAGGGCATATGCACCAGAGCCCAGGCTTATGATATTTTGTGGGCAAAAAAACTGTTAAAAAGAATTTTAATACTATTCATTGTCAGCTGAGATGATACTATTGGGAAGCCTTTTGTGTAGAAGAGGTTTGTTGTGTGGTACACCTGTCCAGAAGAGAAGGGGAGTTGTTAGCACTAGGAAACTGGGAAAATAGAACAAAAAATTATATTGTTGGAAAGATGCGTTGAAGAAGCAAACAAGCATTTAGGGATCACAGAATCACACAGAATCCTAAGGGTTGGAAGGGACCTCAACAGATCATCTAGTCCAGCCCTCCTGCAAGAGCAGGTAACCTAGAGTACATCACACAGGAACTTGTCCAGGCAGGTCTTGAATATCTCCAATGTAGGAGACTCCACAACCCCCCTGGGATGTCAGTGAAAGAAGTCAATGACCTTATGCATAGTGACAGCCATAGCTATTATTTGTAGTTCCAGAAAAAGAATGAAATAAGGCTGAGTGGGCAGGGGTTAGAATCTAGTGGGTAACTTCAATATTTTCCAAAACAGTATTTATTGGTCCACCCTATTGAACCAAAAGGTTTTTTTAAAACTCATTTCAAGAGTTTACCTGTCTTGTAATATACTGCTTGATAGTCTGCTGAGTGATACATAAATAGCTAATCATTTCTACTTTAATTTAAAATCATTATTCATGGCTCTTTGGGACCAATATTTTCCAGGCTTTTTTCTATTTCTGTGTTGAGTGGAGGAGAAGAGTTGAGCCTAGGGAGTAGGAGAGAGAACGTGGAAACAATCCCTCAGTTATTCTTGAGTTATGGAAGAAAATTATTCACTTTTCCAAGGGATGGAAAAAAAGAAAAAAATGTTCATTTTAACTTTTTGAAAACTACAGAAAAAAATCTACCAAAGTTTGAAACTTGAAACAGAGTAGTCTTCTGAATCATTAAAAATTATTCAGATTCAAAGCTATATTTGGAATAAAAACATCCAAGTAAAGCTATAAGTGAGCACAATATCTGAGCATGATCAGTCACAGTCATATTACTACTGGTCCTCATTTGTGAAAAAAAAAAGCATATTCATTCTTCCCATGTGGCCTAACCAGAGGACTCAAAGAAAAAGAAATTGCTGCTGAAATAGTTTGCAGGTGGGAGATTTTTAATTGCTTCAGTAAAACACATGCAGTAAATTCCTCAAAATCCCAATGAATTATGAACATTTGCTGGTGGAAAAACAGAAACCTTAACATGTATATATATAAAGTTCCTCTGGGTTCTTGCAGTAGAAGTTAGACATAAAGATTTATTTTACTTACAGTTAGTGACACTGGAGCCAAAACAACCCAGGCTGGATAAACGAGGATATAGTAAATCTCAAATGGTAACTCTTTCATTGAACCCCATTATGTTTTAGGAATCTTCTGAGTTGTTTTTTTGTTTGTTTTTTTTTTTTGTTTGTTTGTTTGTTTTTTTGGTGTTTTTTTTCCTGTTTCCAGTTACTGTAATAAAAGTTAATGAAAAAGAAAATGCTAAGAATTGCCCATTCTAATCCTCTTATTCTTACTTATAAGGCTTTGCAACACAAAGTCATGTCAGATTGTAAATGGAGGTTGGATTCTTCTGGCATTTTTAGTTATTTGTAGCTGTGACTAATAAAGATTTCCTCCTGCCCAGTCCTTGAATTTCAGGCCAGTTAGCTGATTTAGTCTAGCTGCAGAGCACATGAGGGAGTGAGAAGTGGAACTCAGTAACAGCAGTAGAAAGGGACTCAGAATATCTGAGTGGGTATGGATTGCTTATGGTGCCTGGAGCTGGCAGAGCAGTGGGTTTGGCTAGAGAGAGTCTAGAATGGTGGTGGGTGAATGATATCTGACTGAGAGGTGATCATGCCATTTTGGTAAACTCAATAAGGAGTTCTCCTAATGAAATTCAGGAGAGAGGGTTGTGGGTGTTGTGTGGACTCAAGAGTCATCTGTACCAAGCAGCTAATGAAGGATTTTACATGTAAGAGTGGAAAGAAAAATCTGTGCCATTTGTCTTAAGTTCAGATGGTTTGTAGAGAGAGCAACAGGAGGTGAATTCTTGCTAATGGGCTTCAGGTGTGACTACCTTTTTTGGCTTGAGGGACTGTAGTTAGTAGCAGGGGTGAGAGAGAAGAAAAGGAGTTGAAAGGATAAGCAGAAAATTTTCCACACAGAGCTCAGCTGGAGGAGGTAGTTTTTTAGGCCTTTTCTTTGGAATTTGGGTAAGGAAAAGCTGCTCTATGAGTCTCCCATTGTTGAAAGGACAAATTTTCAGCCCCTTGTTTTTGCTGTATTGTCTTAAAACAATGTGAGATGAATGCTTAAATATCAGTAAAAGAAAAGCTGTTAAAATAATCAATTGTTGCCAGGGTATGTAGAAAAAATTGGGAGATTTTGTGTTTTTGAGGGTTTCTTTTCAGTTTTCTGTGATCATGTCTAACTGAACTCTTTATTATGGTTGCTAAACTCTTTCACACAACTAGCTATTGACAAAAATCATTTCTGGTATTTAACAAAAATTTCTCATTATGATACAAAGTGGTGCTTCTTTTCCAACATTAAATATGACTTTAATATATTTGGTTAAAAATTGAGTTAATATATTTAGTTTTTGTTATAGGTAACTAAGTTATATGTCATATACTTTTGAGATGCCTTCTTTTTTATTTGGACTAATTAAATGTTCCAGTAATAGAGGTTAAAAGTACATTCTCTTTCTATTTAGTTTGAATGCCCTGATGCAATCTCCTTAATGTTACACAGCTGTTTTGATTTGTGAACCATGGTAGCATGTAAACACATTGGTAACACGTGTGATTTGTGAACACATTGGTAACACGTGTCCTTCCAGGTGATGGTAATTCTGGTGCTTTTCTTTCCTTTCTTCCAGGTGTGTTAGAAAAAACATGCTTTTATTCAAATGGAAGTGAGGTCCTCACAGTTAGTGGTGACATTGAAATATCTGGTGATCTTTTGACGAACATGGCTGAAAACAGTTCCAAGACTGATCCCACAATAGATCTCAGCACACAGCCTTCTTCCTGGACCACCATGCCTTTATCCCATGTTGACCAAATGAACAAGAACTCAAATATATTTAGAGAGACTTTCCAGGAAAATACTTTTGCTCTTGCAACTCAAGCCACAGTGCTCAATCCTCCACCTACATATGATGCTGCTTTGGCAGGGGGTTCTGAAGACAACACCCAGCTCTTTGCCACTGTGGAGGAGGCGAGTTTGTGGTCTACAGATGCACCCTTTAACAACACTGAGGGGATGACCAGTCTCCCAGTATTAAATCCTACCCATCCATCTATGTCACAAAAAATGGATCAGAAAAAAAGTAAGTTTATGTTTTATTTGGCTCTGTAATTCTGACTCAAAAAATACAGAACATAGCATTGGCATGCTTCCTAATGTGTTCCCATGAGTTCTAAGGAATGTGTCCATTCTGATAATTTATTTTGTTGTGAGCATTCTATGTTGCAAGCAACTGGTTTCTTATCAGAACATTTGATTGACCCTGTTGAGGAAGATGCAGTAAATTCTTTCAGGTATGAATATTTACAATATGTTCTTCAATTGGTGTAGTTGCGCACATGTACCAAGGCTGAAATGAGTTATGGTAGATAGCTTTCAGTTTGTGAACTGAATTTGCTATGTTTTTTTAAAATTAGGTATGTGACAAGTACTTTCCTGAACTTGAGATGTAATTGCAGTTATAACTTTTTCAGTGTTAATGGCTAAATTCTTCTTGATTTTGAAGCAGTTTCTTTATGTAGCAAAGAAGTTCCAGAGATGTTTCTGAGAATTATAATCAAAATGTGGAGAGAGAATAAGAGAATAATGCGATCAGTTTGGTGGTTTTGTTTCGCTTGGGGATTTTTTTTTTTTTTGGGGGGGTTGTTTTTCATTTGTTTGGGTATTAAAGTAGGTGCATTTCATTAGTGCTGTGGTTATTCTATTGATTCATCAGATAGTGAAAGATTCCCTGATATTCTTTTGCAAACAACTGAAATGTTGGGGTTCCATACTAAAATGAATTTGTTTCTCTCAAACTGTGTATCATTTTGCAGTTTCAACATACTGCGTATCAACTGCATATCAAGAGCATCCTTTTTGCTCTTGATCCCAGCAGAGCACAAAGGAAAACTTATTCCAGGTCATAGAGAGATCAGAAATAGATGAGGTAGCCACTGATCTAGAAGTGGCATGCTCTAGTAAATGTATTTTTTCAGTTTCTATAAAATGACAATGAAGAGATGGTATCTGACAGTGGTGATCACTTCTGTAAGGCCACTGAATTACATGTTACTTTTAGGATCAGGTCTGTGTGTCTTTCCTCTGTTGGATTCTGTGTTCCACCCATCCCACCATTAAACAGGCAGATAAAAGTTGGTAAACAGCTGTTACATCTTTTTCTTGTTCTTCCTGGACTGAAGTAAAAGTAGGGAAAACCTTTGGATAAGACCTTATTGAAAAAAAACCAAAACCCTGGTATACAGAAGAGATTTCCCTTTGACAGCATTTCAGTGATATATTTTTACTCAAAAATTAGCTTTCAGAAATAATAACTTACTATGAATCAGTGACTTGTCAGTGTTTTCTCTGTGCTGTAGGCCACAGTGGCTCCACAGGCTTTCTGTAGGTTCTGTTTGCTAAATAATTTTTCATATACAGATTTCTCTTATTCCCCCCCCCCCCCACTCTAGACTCAGAATGTGTATATAAATGCACACATATATCCTATTAGTGATTCATTTTTTAACCTCTTTTAGTAACTTGGTTTATTATCACCATGCCAAGGAACAGAGTACAACTGTAGTGTGCTGCTACACTACAGATACTTCCAATCCATAAGGTTTTCCATAATTACTGTAGCAAAGGACACCTCAGAGTTGGTGGCATGATGATTAATGTTGAGCAAAATTGTAGGGCAATATTCTGCCTGTTTTTCTTAACTAGGTCATATTTGGTGTGTTGTGGTGTATGGCTGCTCCTAGTCTAGAAGACTGTGTCTTTGCATTGCAGTCTTAGTAACTGGGTAGATAAAGTATAGATACTGTGTAAGATTCAAGTGTTTTGCTTCTCTATATTCATGTAGACCTTGCTTTAATTCTGTGTGTGGATAAAATAAATAAATAAATAAATTTTGGGGATTCAGAAGAATTTGATCTCACAATAGCTATGTGTTCCCATGGCTGTGCAAGGCATGGAGGACTAGAAAGCAGGGGAATTTGACTAGTACATAGGGCTCCTCACTATGTTGTTTGTCCTGGCCTTTGCAAATCAATGCTCATCATCAGTCTCTTTGATCTTTCCCATTAAGCTTTGCTACTTGGAGAGACCTCTGAAGAAACAGAGAACATGGTCTGGGGTCCACATAAACTTCTTAGGTGTTCTGATGTGGAGGGAAATGGGGAATAACTGGGAAATGAAATCAAAATAAACTTTGGAATAGTGAGATTGGAATAGCTTTTTAGAGTAAGAGGGATTTTTTTTTGGACAAGTAAAGCCTAATGACCACATGGGAATGGTGGTAGTAGATCAAATTAAGTCTCTTGCTTAGTGTCTGGATCCAACTTCAATGATTAGTGTATACTTAAAGTAAACAAGGGCTAGCATACAGAGACACTTCAGCATTATATAGTAGCAGATTCCAGTTATCTCTAGTGAGTCTTGATGAGCATTTTCCCATGAACTTATGTAATCATTTTTGAACCCATGTAAAATCGTTTGAGCTTTTAAGGTGTATCTTAGAAGGAAATTAATCTCTGAATGAAGTGTGAGGCTGATGTTCCATCATCAATGCATACTAGCAGATCATCCATCAGTACAAGTTTCATCTGGTTCAAGTATGGGGAGGTGAATGCATTTCTGTTGATTTAGTGAGAGCATGCATAACTTGGACTTTATGCTGTTTTTGTGCAGGATGTTAAAAGACAAATGATATGTCATACAACACAGAGACTGCCAGTGCAAAACAAACCAGACAAAATTCTCTCAACATATTTCAAATGGCATTCATGTAGCTGTAATGTTTTTGGTCTGGTGTTAGCATCCCTACAACTTTACAGGTGAACCACAGCTTCAATAAAAGACATCAGAACACATTAACAAGAGAAATTATAAACATTCTGACTATATGGTAGTCACTCTAGACTTTAAAATAATACAAGTAAGAGATTGCTGAGTTACTAACTGGAGAGGAATGAAATTTGGCGCATATGACATCAATTATTTAAAAAGGCCTTGAAGCAGAAGGAAGTTCTTTGGCAGAAATTCTAGTACAGAATAGATTAATAGGTAAATGGAAATGCACAGTAAGGAAGAGACGAAGAAGTTTATTTTCATTTTACAAGGGAAGTGATGTCTTACAACTCTGTTAAGAGAGTTCTTTGAAGGAGTCACTGAAAATGCTGGTTAATACAACATACTTGGCTTTTCAAAATGCTGTTAACAGGGGTCTTCACTGAGAAGGCTGAAAGCCATTCTTCTCACAGGCCAATTGCTTATTAAAAGACAAAAGGAAAAATAAGAATGAATGGTTAAGCTTCCCAGTCAAGAAGATTACTGATGGAGTCTTACAGGGTTTTTTGATCTGGAAAAATGGTGAATACTCAACAACCTATCTGCTAATACAAAATTAGCTGTCTTACAATAAATAGCTGGGAATCACATTAAAGTCTCATAGTGGAGAGAGGGACTGATAAAATAGTTAGATGATGGTGCCAATAGGCACAAAAGAATCCTGGAGGGTGGGGAGCAACCCTAACTCTATGCAGCACAATGCTGGACTCTCAGCTAGCTTTGCCACCAAATAAACAAAGACCTGATGCTTTGCTGTGACAGCAGTCTGGCCCTATGGCTGTCAAGAAGGCAAAGAGGGTGTTGGGTATTGTCCTGAACTCCGTGAAGAGTAATCCAGAAAATTTCATTACATCAGTGTGTAAGGTCAGAAAGATAATAGCAGAATTGTGAAAGGCACATAGTGAGCAACCAGACCTGTGAAGGCATGGAATTTCTTAGTGAGAAGACACTAATAGGAGGAAGACAATGTTTTCCTCCTGGAAAACAGCTGGCTAAAGACTGAGCATTGTGGCAATTACCCATACCATTTTGAGTGTCCTAGTGAAATGGAACAGGGAACAGTTAGTCACTGGGTTTAATTGTATTAGTAGGTGCTTTTCATTTGGTTGGTTTTTAGTGTTTTTGTGGGTATGTTTTTGTTATTGGACAGTATGTTAACACAAAAAAAAGAGACAATGTGGAACTCATTGCCATGGGATAATGAGAAAACCAGAAAGTATGAAAATGCTTGGAGAACTTGATGAGGGGTTGGTCTATTGGGGCCTTTTAAACACAATAGTCCAGTGACTTGTGAAAACTCAAGATTTTAGGTTGCCAGAATTTGTTATATTCCTAGGTGGTTGTTCCTTATACTTGCCCTAAATTCTAATGCTGGCCCCTACCAAAAGTCAGCTTCCAAGATAAATGTATCCTTCTTGTTAGAAGGCAAGTGAAGGAATATGTTTTTCTTGTTGAGGGATTTGAGTTTGCATGACTTCATGTTGAAATGTTTTCTGAAGGCATAGGCCATGGTCCTAAGTCACTAGGATCATTCATGGGAGAGTTTTCTGATAGCAAAAACATCAGGAAAGGGAGTCTTAGGTGAACCAGTAGGTTCAGTAGTATATATTCATGGAATTAAGAAATGCGCAGTAATATTCTGTTCATCTGTCAGTCAGTGCTTAACAGGAAAGGGACATACACTAAATAATAATTACGTTAAAGAACAGAGGATGTTTTGTCAAGATAAATATCAGTACAGTTTTATTGGTACTCTTCTGATCTTTGAAACCAAAGTAGTCTGCAGTTAAGCAGTAAAGTGGGAAACTGACCAGGGGAGTGTATGAGACTGAGTGGGATGTTTTCATTTCAAATGAAGCAGACTCCCTGTTTTGTAATACTGCTGATTTGGGGAGACAGGAAGAAGGAGACAGAGTGAGGGCTGACATTCTTCCTAGAAAAACATCCTGTAAACTAATGGAATATGCACTGGGACAAGAGGTATTGGCATCTGATTTTGTTTCTTTCACTCACTGCTGTGAATGCATATGTATATTTAATATCCCTTTTCTTTTGTGCCAAGTCTCTCGTACTTTTCTCCAAGCCCCTTGAATTTCACAAAGAAAGTTTCAGTGGAGATCTGTGACAGTGCTCCAAATTTAATATGAAAAGGAACATGAGCAAGCTTGATCATTTTCTGCAGTACCTTTCTGCATTTGGCATCATCTGAGGGAGCGCAGGAACAGCGCTGGGCCTATAGACCTTTCATTGGGA